TGGAAAATAATACTGAACACAGAAAAATATTTAGGAATGACTTTAGACGTCAAAATCATATGGAAAGAACATGTCAAAAAAAAAATAGAATTAAAAAACAAAATATAGCGAAAACTACTGGCTTCTAGTTTGTGGACATTGATTGACGACAACCTACGGCAAAGTGTATGAACACATAACTTATAACCAAATAATAACGGCATAATAGTATCCGATTATGGTTTATAAAGCATAGGATAAGGAAGGAAAAACTGAAACAAGCGAAATCATTCAATTTGGCCTAAAGTTGTGATACGGTAATTCTTTGCCTTCCTTTACGGAATCTAGATATAAAAATAGATTAAAGTAGTAAAACTAGTGTTTAGTCAATTTTGGCTGTTTTTGGGAAACCATTACCGCCCAGATGCGTATTTGCTTAAAGTCTCCAATTTTTGATATATTTCTGAATAAAGTATATGAATTTGAATATATCTGAATAAAGTGTATTACCTGATTCGGCAAAGTTTAGGCAAATGTTTATTTATTTTTAAAGATTGTGAATAATTTTATTTAAATCGGATTGTTGAGGCAAATAATAGCAAATTGTACATTTAAATGCTTTGATATTTTTATAAAATTAAATATTCAAACAGAAATATGTTAATGTCATACCATGGTATATGGTAAGTCACTGTAAATTTTCATATAATGCCCCATATAACAATAGAATTTAATAAACAAAGAATTCTTCATGGACTTGATTACAATTGAGCAAAATTTTTTTCCTTTCTTTTTTTTTTTATTCTCTTTTTCTTCGTTTTTGTTTTAATTTTTTTTATTGTACACCCTAACAAACCTTTGAAGAAAATAAAAAATTTTAAGTAGAATCAAGTCATTAAATACCTAGGTCTTTTCCAAGTCAAAATGCACATATGTATATGTACATATATGTATATGTAAATTAAATATATCTAAGTACTTTAAAACCGTGAGTATTGAATGCCTTTTCTGTATTAAAATAATAATATATCTATCTCTGTCACACATATTTACATTACAATGTATTAACCGAATTCGTAGTATATGTATATTATTCATAATCATAATTCTTAACATATTATTAAGAATTTTAACAACTTTATAACAACGGGAAAATAATTAAAATGAAAACCGAAAAAGGGTTATGGATCATACGTAATCCATTTGTAATGACGTGTTAACACTATTATTGCACATACATTATTAGGGTAAAAAAAAAAAAAAATATAATATATTTTTGTTTTTTTTTTGCGCTATCGTGTGGCACTACTTATTGTAAGTGCATGTATAATGCGTAATTTACAAATTACAATAATTTCAAGACAAAAGGATTAAAAAAAAAAAGCAAAATGAGAAGAAAAAAAAAACAACAGTGATAGCATAATTTTGATATCCAAGTCATAACTTAAATATATGAGCAAATTTTTTTCTAAATTTACTGTAATAAAAAATATACGAGAAAAGAAAAAGGGAAACATAAGAGCATAAAAGTTTAAGTGTATAGGAAGGGAATAATAATGATAAACAACAAAAAAGGATAACATTCTGTGAGAATACAAAAAAAAAATTTAAATATCAAAGGAAAAAATTTTTTTTTTTTGGCTTTAAAAATATTATTTAAAAACATTAAAGAAAAGAATTTTTGTTTAAAATTTGTTGTAATTGCAGTAATATAGAGGACGCTATTCTAGGTCTTAAACATTAAAGTACATAATGAAAAATTTTTGTCTTTGATGTAGTTTTTCTTTTTTCTCAAAAAATAAGGTTAGACTTGTTGAAAATATTGATTTTAGTCTAAAAATAAAGAAAGAATAATTTTAGTTCATGACCTAACATAAATATGGCATAGAGGTACAGGTGACATTATTATTTTGTCTAAGTAGATTGTTCGAGTATCTTAATTATAATTTAGTAATCTTGATGAAAAAAAAAATTCATTCTCCTTATTTAAAATTCATTTGATTGAAGTTGAAGAATAAATTTAAAGTTTAAAAAATTATGGTCTGGTATTTTAAGTAAAATTCGTTAAAAAAAATTTATTAGAAAAAAATTCGACATCTTTCATATTTTGTAAGCGAGAACATCAAATATGAGATATAAGATATTTGCTTTGAAAATCAGCTGTACGTTTGGAAAACTCAGATTAGTTTTAATTTTTTGCAGTGCACATAATTTTTTGTCTAAGTGTAAGCCATGCGTTGTGGCGTATAAATAAAATTTGTGGCACATATATGCTTTCAAAGATGTGAATATGTGATTATACCAAACGTCAAAAGACTGGTCATACAAAAGAGAGTATATAGCTGTTGTAAATGAAAGTTGGGAAGGAAGTCGGAATTTTTCTATTCAGGCGCGTTTGCAGATACTTTGATTTTTGTATACTAGGGCGTTCAATATTTTTTTAAAGGTCGGTCATTTTATCATTACAATGTAATGAAATTAAATACAGACAATTTTATATAGCAATTGGTTGCCTTGTTATCACTTATTTCTTACATTATGAACGGCTTCCATATTACGAGAAGTTAGAAAATGTAATGTTCCTAAATAGTAACCAACCAAAATCCGATCAATAGTCTGTAAAGTTTACATTTTGAAAATATGTACCTGTTATATAATGTTCATGTAAATATAGAAAAAAATTTAATTAAAACTTTTGTGTAAGCTAGATTTAATCCGCATAAAAGCATCCTTAACAATCCTGCACCAAAAATAAATTATCATATTGTATTTATATGTATATTAAGAGTAAAGTAAAATATATTACTATTTAAGGTTAAAAAAAAAATTAAATAATTTTTGGGATCAAATTATTAAGTTAATAATTTGAGTTTTTGGGGGGGAGAAAAGAATTTAATAAGTAAAAAATTGTTACTTTGCTACTGAGGCTTACTATTTTTTTTATATTTTTATTTTATTCTTTCCCCTCGACATTGTGAACATTACAATTAAAATAAATAAAAATAATATAATAAAATAAACCCTGACGGAACTTTCTTTCCCTCTTCTTTTTTAACGTGCACGTAACTGTGAATTTAAAGTGATAATTCATTGTTCCACAAAAGAGAGAAAAATGAAATCAGAACAATAATAATGTAAAAATTCATTCAAAATTGCCAACCTTTTCAAAATGTTTTTATTGCATAAATTTAATAATGTGAATGTTTGCATTACACTTCATATTAAAAAGAACATTGGTTTATAATGTTGTAATGACCATGTGGGATAATGATACCTTCATTATTATAAATTCCTATATGGGGTTACTTTTATTGGTATTTTTGTAACTAGCTATACCGTCGCGAGTTGTTGCAATTTCAGAAGAATGAAAGTAGTATTTATTTTTATTTATTCATTCAATAATCGTAAGTGGCCTCTTGATAAATTTTTTCTTAACCTTTACTTAAGTTTATAAAATATTCGTTACTTTTGGGTCACCTGGAGCTTCACAGGGGTAGTTTCCAAAAATCGAGATATCGTCGAGACTTTTCCAACAATCCAAAATTTAGTTAATGAAAATTTCAACTGAGTTCTTGTAGATGCTTATTTCATTTGAATGATATTTTTTTTCTACCGAATTCATCCCTAAGTTGTTGCCACCCACAATAATAGTATTGGATCTATTTAAAAGCAATTATAATCAACAGACTGTAAATATAATATTTTTAGAGCCAAATGTAATAATAACAAAATATTCTTTAAATTTTTAATTATTATCGCCGTTATGAATGGGCACTACATTTTAGTCTAGATTATTACTATGAATCATGTTGTTTGAGTGAATTATTTTTATTAAATAATTATTAACGTTTTGCTAAAGTATATAATAATAATTGTTAAAATTATATACATATATACATGTATATAAAAATAAATAAAACAAGTAAGTCTTAAAGTTTGCAATCTTATTACAGACTCTATTCAACCTCATTTTTAGTAATATAATCGGCCATTATTTTAGTATATTTTTATGCAATAGCGGAGAACTTTATTGTATGCACAAATTCATCATATATATACAAGTACCGTTATATTCGTATAAAGTAACTTTTTAAAAAGCATGACCGAACAGAGAAATTAATGCAGAGAATATTGAAAAAATCCAATCATAAATCAAAATAATAATTATATGAACAATGAACATAAAAATATAGACTAACATCTATTCCTATAAACAATTTCTATTAGTATAAACTTTTACCAAAAAACGAAAAGACAAGAGAAAAGCAATAACAAAATTTTGATTTTAATCAGCTTATGTACTTGCATATATGTACACCTACTTGTAATTTATAAATTGCTTGTAATCTATTGTGCATGTAAACGTTGTAATTTTTTCTACAAATACTCCATATATTATGTACGTATATAATATGTGTGTGCCTTAATATACAAATAAGCTTTACCATACAAGCCATTTAATTTTTTGTTCTTGTTTTTCATTTTTTATATTATTTTTCTTCTTACATATATTTTTCAATTAAAAATTACTCCCAGTTAACGTAATCGTTTCATTACTTCTACTACGCCAATTTAATATACAAAAAAAAAATTTGAATTTAATGTTGCGTTTTTTTTTTTTTGATTTTTTTTTTCTATTTTTTCTAAATTGCAAAACAAATTTTCTTCCAGTTAACGTAACCGTTAATTGGAATGCATATTATATTTCCTATGGAATTTAAATGCACACATTTACCTATATGGTATTAGCATAGAGGTATTATTTTTTGTATAATGGTTTGTAAATGTATGTGCACTCTGTATTCTATTTGGGTAAATGAAAAAGTTCATTAAGAGAATAAGAAAACAAAAGGGGTGTTAAAACAGAAAAAAATAAAAAACAAACAAATTTTGTTTTTTTTTTAAATAAATACAAAAAAAAAATCATAAAAATAATAATAGCAAGGATAATAAAAGTTAATAATACAATAAGAAAAAAAACAAAAAAACAACAATATAAGTGGAAAATTTGTGGCACTTACCACTCAACACTTGCCAATAATATAAGAATAAAAAAATGATCCTTTTCTCTCAGGTATAACATTTCGGCTTATGTTGAAACAAATAATTTATTTCTACGATGCCGTTGTTATTACAGTTATCCTTTATTTTAAAAAATGTGTGCATTTTTGTGCACTCATGAATATTTACTGTTATAATTTACTTCTTATATATTTTATTTTTTTTTTTTGAATTTTATAGTTTGTTTTTTACTTATTTGTTTGTTTATATTTATTTCTTTTAGGTTTAATTTGCTTTCTAATAGTTTTATTAATATTAATTTCACTTATTTTATTTTTTTATTTATTTTCATATTCTCTAAATCAAATGCGAGTTATATATATATTTATAATAATATATATTTTATATTATGCTATGTTAGTATGTAAAATAGATGTAATTTACCTTGAAAATTATTATTTTTTTTTTTGTTTTTTACGCTAAATTGATATTCTACAATTTATGAGTTTGCATTTTTTCATATTCTCTATATGTTATGTATGTTTGTGTGTATAGAAATAATTAAAAAAAAAAATAACTATATAGACTAAATTAAATTTAATTGAACATTTTAAATTTATATTTCTGTGACAATAAGACAAAGCTGATTAAGTCAACTCAGTAACAAGTTTAGACGCTTTAATATACGTATTTAATTATGTAATCCAACAAAGTTTGTTTTAATCTGGACAGCTTTAAGATAATTAAGTCAATTCAGAAAACAAAAACACAACGAAAATAATTTGAATAATTTAGAACTCTGATTATGATTAAAAAAACTCGACTATATTGTTTGTTTTTGGAAAGACTTGTTCAGATTCCGAGAATATCGATCAAGTTTAAGAAATAATTCTAAAAAAAAAATCTAAAAACTGACATTTTAAGCTAAGTAAAAGATAAAACAGTCAAACAAATACTATGGGCTGTCTCAAATTAATTAACCTAATCATGACTTCTGTAAATTAATATGTTTTTACTGAGTTTTTATTTTAAGCAGCCCAATTATTAAACGAAATCGCACATATTTCTCCAACTTAATTTTGAGTTAATTTTTTTCTAAAAAATATTGTTAAACTAGACTTACTCAAAATTAATAATTCATGACTTAGGCACAGTTTTGTCTTATTTATCATATAGAAATAATAAAAAAAAATACGTTATTTCACTTTTATGATGGTTTTCCGGGGTAAGAGTAAAAATTTTCATAAAAAATAAAATTGTTTAAAAAATTTTTTTAACACTACTTTTTATTTTTTATTACACTTCCTTTACACTTTCTTTGAATAACTGTATATATTTTTATAATATGTACATTTCTTGTATTAAATATTAAGTATCTACTTAGTACATGTTTTTATTTTTGTATTTTACATTTTATTTAATAGGCTTAACAGATTTTCAATGAAATAAACAGAAAGAAATGTAAAAATATAAGAAAAAAAAAAACAAATTATATTTATAATTTTAATACACAACTTAGCGTGTCAATTAATCACAAATTCAATATCACGCTTATTTCTCACTTTTAAAAATTTATTTTCATTTTCGATATCATTCTTTTCAAGTGTTTTTTTACTTTTATTTTTTTATATTTAAAAATATTTATATTTAGTGATGCATTCTTACAGGTTATATGATTGGAGGTTTGTTTTTTCTGTTTTGTTTTTGTTGATGTTATTTTTTTGTGTTTGTATTTTTCATTTCAATTCACAATTTTATAATCACATTCACTATTTTGCGTGTTTTAAAGTGATATTTATTTTTTAAACTTTTAAATATTTATTACATTAACTGATAAATTAAATCGTTTAAAAATTGAAATTTTTTATCATTATTTAAAAAATTTTTTAACTAAAATTTAAAAATAATTTATTTTTATTTTTTTATTTAATTTTTTTTTACTTAAATTTTGTATTCCATTTGTATTTTTAATATTTCCCTATTTAATTATGTATTTATTTATTTATTTATATTTACAAGGATATTTCTATTATGTAAATATTATATTAATACATTATAGTGTATACCAGTTTAAGAAGGAAAAAAAAAATAAATGTTGTTGTTACCATTGTCAGAGCATTAATGCAAAAGATAAAAATTAACAGAATACAGCATTCTATATACTCAGGTGAGTATATAGAAAAGTTAGGCAAGAAAAATCATAATAATATAAAAATCAGAAAATAATAATAAAAAAAAAAAATAAAGAGAATTATGTAAAAATTTGAAACTCGTATACTAAAAAAAAAAAATGAAAAAAAAATGAAGGAAAGAATCAAAAAAAAACAAAATAAAAAGTATGAAGATACGAAAATAATAAAAAAAACAACAAGCATAAACAAAAACAGAATATAACAATATTATTGTTATATGTATATAAGTTTCGTATATTCCATGAAAATATAGTAAAAATGTAAGAATATTTATGCATAATGTATGAAAAAGCATGATATTTGCTTAATGGTGTATTAGTTTTTCAGCTGTCTGTGAGAGATTTTGTTGTTTTTTTTATTTTGTTTTTCTTATTTGCATTTTTTTTTTATTTTTGGTGCCTTTTTGGGGAGCTGTTTTATAAGACAATAGGTGAAATTAATTTTGATAGAAAATCAAAATAAGAAAATAAAATATAAAAGAGAGAGAGTAAGAGGGAGAGAGAGAGAGAGAAAAAAAAAACATTTTTGCCAAAAAATTTTTTTTTGTTTTATTCAACTATTCATTATTATTTGTAAATGTCAACTTTCGATTCTCGAATTTTATGTTTTTAAAAATTTATTTTTATTTAAAATATTCTTACGGTAATTATAATGATTTTTGACGAATTTTAACGTTTTTTAACGATTTTTAACGAGCTCTAACGATCACAAACGAACAGTAACGATCATTAATCAACATAAACGATCTCATAACGAGCAGTAATAATTGTTTCATTTGAGTTATTACATTTCAATAACATGAAAAAAAAAATTATATTAATGATTCCCTATGTATTAATTCTATTATTTCAGGAGAAAGGAAAATAATGTATAAATTTGAAATTGAAATAAATTTGAAAATTAAAATATTTGAAATTTATTTTCTAAAGAAATATATAAGGCTATTAAACAGAATAAATCTTGTTATCTCTATTCTATACATTTGTATTTATAATCATTTTTTTCTTCTGTCATAATTGACTAATCACAATAATTCATATTTCTGGGACATAGAATCAGTAGTTTTGTTATAAGAGTGTAAATTATTAGTTTATTATTAGAATAATTACTTAATTTAATTTATTTATTGAAAATTAGCAAATCAAATATCCTATATCTGTATGACTGTAGATGCTGAATTTATGAAGCCTCCCACAAAACTTCTTTTGAAATCTATTTACTTTTGTATTATAAACGTATAAAGTTTATATTTATACACATTAGGTATTGTGTGGCTAATGGTCATTAACAAAATTAACGATTTTTATCGTATATATGAGAATATTACAGTTGACATTCATTTTCCCAAATAAAGATCTGTTATTTGATATTCAATAAATTCATTACAGTGATTATTATTTGTTGAAACGAGCGAAACAGGTGGCGGATTAATTTTTATAATAATTGAAAATATTAAACGATTTGTTTTATTTTTTGTGTTTAAAATCAACTTTTCTATTTGATTAACAAAACGATATTAAAATATTTGATTTTTTTTTTATTATAAATATTATTTTTTGTTTTAAAATAATTTTTTATTTGTTATAAAAATTTATTTGTTATTAATTTTTTTATGATTGTTTTGATTTTGAATCGCGGTTTTCCACATTAATTATTTATTTAAGTAATTTTTTCCTTTATTTTTATTATTTTTCTTTTATATTTGTTTGCACAATGTGTGGAAATTGTTCCGAATGACATATGGTGTGACATGCGTTACCAAAATCCTACGTAAACTAAGAAAAACAGTAACAAATTGATGTGCGAGTAAAGTGCATGGAAACCTTGAAGCATTTTTATTTATTTGTTTATTTATATTTTAATTTTTGTTTTTGTATTTCAGTTGCTTTTTTCATTTTTTTTTTATTGTTTTGTGTTTTTTTGTGTGAATAGGGGATTCCAAGGTGTGAAAATGAATGAGAAAAACAAAAGTGTATACACACTTTCATTCATTAATAATACAATATTGTGTGCTTTCTTATAAAAATGTTACTGTAAAAGTTCGCAAAAAAAGACTTTTGGAATTTGATAAATTATTTCCAATTTCTGAATTTTTTTGTTAAGAATTAATAAAATAACACTTTGAGTCCGCTTATAAATAAAAAAGAGCAGAAAACATATTTACTAACGGTACTATATTGCAATTTCACTCATAAAGAATATTTTGAATGCATTTTTGCATAATAAACATCTAGGGTGAGTATAAAATTCAAAATATTCTAAAAAAGTAATCTTATTTTACAAAAAATTCATACCAGATCATATTACGTCTTGAATTCAGGAGATCATTTATTATAAAGCTCTTATCCTTGTTTTGATGAACAAAATTAATTAAATTTAGTTCAGCTTGAATTAAATATTGTGTTCAGGATTAGAAAAAAAAATTTTTGTTTTAATTTCGAACTTTAACAGTAACATAAGAATATATATTATAATATGTAAAGCAAGAAAAAAAAAAAAAATAAAGTGATAAATGCAGAAAAGAAAAAAAAATTAAAAAAAAAAATTGTGTTTTGTTATGGGAATACTACTTATCATTATTATTATTTTATATAGGTAGTACTCTAATACCATATGATTTCCCTGACAATTTTACAATGTGTTCTTTTCTATTGTCTGGTTAATATTTATATAATACAATACCTTCGAATTGTATTATACGTGTAAGTACATATACATATATGTATATGAAATTTTCAAGAGGGATGTCAAAATTTTAGTTACACTTGATTATATGCTTTATTTCCTAATTATGATTTTAAATAGGAAAAAAATTGTTTGCCTATATTAAATAAATTCACTTATATTAGTTAAAAAAATTTGAAAATGAAAAAGTACAAAAATTGCATATTTTCAGGTGCTACATTTGAATTCAATTATATTATTTCCTATCTCTTGAAAGCTATCACACTATAATATATATATAACATGAACATATAAATTTGGCCCAAGGTTTAGGAATATCAGATGCTCGAATATAAGAAT